CAAAGTGAGACTGTCTCTAAAAAAAATAAAACTAACTAAATAAATAAAAATCACAGCTTCTCTACTTTTGAAATTTGGGCTTGAGTTTTCATTTGTGACCAACTCCTATTGGTTAGATACCAGTTGATTGACTCGGCACCTGTGGCTCAAGTGGCTAAGGCGCCAGCCACATACACCTAAGGTGGCAGGTTCAAATCCAGCCCGTCCCGCCAAATAAAAATGATGGCTGCAACCAAAAAATAGTGCTGCATTGTGGCGGGCGCCTGTGGTCCCAGCTACTTGGGAAGCTGAGGCAGGAGACTCGCTTGAGCCCAGGAGTTGGAGGTTGCTGCGAGCTGTGATGCCACGGCATTCTACCCAGGGGGAAAGTTTGAGGTTCTGTCTCAAAAATAAATAAATACATAAATACCAGTTGATTTTACACATAACACTTATGGGGCTCGGCGAGGTGGCTCACTCCTATAATCCTAGGCCAAGGTGAGTGGATTGCTTGAGCTCAGGAGTTCAGACCAGCCTGAGCAAGAGCCAGACCCCATCTCTACTGAAAAATAGAAAAACTAGCCAGGCATTGTGGTGGGCACCTGTAGTTCCAGCTACTCAGGCTGAGGAGGAGGATTGCTTGAGCCCAAGAGTTTGGGCAACCGAGTAGGACTCTGTCTCAAAAAAAAAACCCCAAAACCAAAACCAAAAATTCTTACAAAAAACACTTAGGCACCCTCTTATAGATATCCCAGAAAATGGACTCACCTAACCCAACCAGGGATGATCATAGCAACAATGGCTAAAATGGGGAGCTTTTGAAATACCAAAAATAATTGATTTATGTGCACAATTGGAAAAAAGCTGGTTTTAGAACCAGACAAATTGGGTAGACTTACTTCCAAGGGCATCTAAGAAGCTTCTAAAATCGCCTCCCTCAGGAAGAAAACAAAAAGATATCCATCACCACCACCTGAGGAAATTCCCTAGGCCTTTAACTCATGCCCTGAAACTTCTATTGTGGCACTCCTAGAGTTTTTATAAACCCCTTCGGATCTTAGGGGCTCAAACCATTTTTGCTCCATTAAATTTTGTTAAATTTAATTTGTCTAAAGTTTTTTTTTTTTTTTCAAACAGATGGCATGTTTGGAGTAGAGCTCTCAGTGGACCAAGTGACAATGCAAGGTACCCTCTGGTCAGCTGTGTCCACTGCTCTCTTGCAGCATCTGGGCATCTTGGGCAAGTTTTCTCTCTGATATTAAAGCTCTATAATTTGTGTTTTTAACTTTCTTTTTTTTTTTTTTTAAGAAACAGAGTCTCACTTTATCGCCTTTGGGAGAGTGCTGTGGCATCACAGCTCACAGCAACCTCCAACTCCTGGGCTTAGGCAATTCTCTTGCCTCAGCCTCCCGAGTAGCTGGGACTACAGGTG